TAGTTATCTGGGAGATTATTTCTGCTTTGAATTTTTCTAGAGCCTCATTCATCTCTTTTGTTATTTTCTGTGCTATCAGTTTAGGGTGTCTAGGTGATTGATTATCAGACTTTTCCACCTCATTTTCCCCAGAATTTGCCTTTTGTGGGGTGGGAGTCAGAGTTTGTGACTTGCTTAAATGTCTTCTCATTTTTGTTTTTGATACTGTCCTTGGTTTAGCTCCTGGGTTGATATTTTGAAGTTGCTTATTGTAAATATCTTTGTTGATGTATTTAGAACCCTTATGGAATGATTGCTTCTCACAGGTGTCTTCCAGATATAGCTGGTCTTTAGGTTTTGAGTCTCTAATGGCTCTGAGGCTATCTCATTTTCATTTTACCAGGAAGGACAACTGATTAGATCAAGCACAACACCTTAGCCCAAGTGTTACAATCAGCAACACCATAGCATCAAGTGCATCTTAGAGAATGATAATTTGTAGTAGTTATTAATCTATCACCTTTAACTGTGTGAATTAAATCAAAATCAAGGACCAACCCAACATATGCTTATATTGGATAAACTCTTCAATATAGGAACTTTACCCTTCAGGATGGAGAGTTAGAAGGAGTTGGGGAGGGAAGAATAGTTAGGTAGAAGGATAGCGGAAGGTTAGCAGTGAGGCCAGAGGGCACAGACAAGAGAAGGAAAGAGAAGAAAAGTCAAATGAAGAAATACAAATTAGGGCCAGAACAAGAACACAAAGGGGAGATGAAGAACAGTGTGGGAAAGCAAAGGAGCAAGGCAGAGAGAGAGAGAGAGAGAGAGAAAATAGAAGAGAAAGAAAAAAGAGAAAAATAAAAATTTTAAAAGAGTAGAAAAGAAGAAAAAAAAGAATATTAAAAATAACCAAAAACCGTGATATTTTGAAAATATCAAATAAAAGATACAAATGAAGGGCCTCCTTGAGGGTATGTCTCTGCTGTCACAATAGAGAATGTGGGCAGCAGTGTGCAGTTATAAGTCAATGAGTCTCAGTGAGTCAGTCACAGACCCGTGAGATTCAGGCAGATTTCTGGCTGCAAGCCCCCAATTGAGCTCTCTGTTCTCATGCAAGTTTGAACTATGCAAGGTTCTATTGCGGGTTCCAGCTGCCTGTCCCTGAAGATAGTCCAGGTTCTGATGGGAGGTGTTGATCCCTCCAGCTTACCAAGCAAAGTGGTCTGGTGTGCCTTTATTGCAGAGATTCTCTTCACTTTTCCAGTGGGCTAGTTTTCATCAGGGAGCCTGAGAGAGGCCCTCTCTCTGTTGTTCACTTCTGTAGCTCAGGACAATGGCTTTTAAGTCCCCCTGTGCCTCTCTAATGTGGAACCAAGTAGATGCACAGCCAAAAGGCCAGAGTCCGGGTGGGGGGAGAAAGTGGGGTGGCGGGGGCTGTTGTTGGAGGTTAACCCATATGTGTAATGCTCCATTGGAAATGATTACATTACTGAATCAAGTTTATTTTGAGCAGGCTAGACCTCTGTTGACAAGAAATTTTTCTATTGTTTATGAAGTATTTATTACTTCCCTTACTCCACATGAAATGTGATACATTTTACATAGATTTCTACAATATTTCCTTTAAGAAACATACAGATAGTTCACTTTTAATACCCTAAAAATTTGACTGCAAGGATAACTCAAAGTTATACTTTCCCTGACAGAAGCCTTTATTTTATTTCTCTTATTTGTCATTTCATGGATTTTAATTTTTATGAAAATTTTTAATACAAATATTTATATTTTCTCTGTGTTTCTTCCAGAAAAATGTTTAAAATCAGATATTGTAGTTGACGATGGCTTTTGTTTGAAGCAGAACATAATTATCCCTTAAGTAAAGAAACACAACATAAGTGTAAGCTAGGATATGCAACAGCAGATGGAAAATTATCAGGCACAGTTAAATGTTTGCAAAATGGATAGTATTCTCAACCAGTTGGCATCAGTAAATAATTTTATATTTTTAGTGCATGTCTCTGAACATAATAACACACAAGTTTAACTATTAGTTTTCTTCCTTCTAGGGTTATATGGTACTATATAAATAAAATAAATAAAACACATTTTCAACAATATATAAATAAAATATATAAACATTTCTATGTCAAAATGTTCTGAACTTTTCTGTTCTGTCCTCCCACTCCTTCAAAGGAAATAATTTCTTAAGTCCCCTTTTTTTCTGAAATAAATGTCCCTATTTTAAAAAGGAAGGGAAAAGAAGTAAGAAAAGTAGGATAGATAGAAATGAGGAAATAAGCTAATTAGAGAATTCTAGAGGTCTTCAGGCACAACTTTATGAATTAGATATTTATACATTGTCCTTTCACCATTTTCAAGTTATCAATGTCTTGCATTTGATTTCTTGTTTCTTCTAATAAAAGTCATCATAAACTACATTCACAGTGCAATATTCAAGAGAACATTGTGCTACTAAATTTCATCCATATGTAATTAGATGTCACAGAGAAGAGACAACTCTGAAAATTCATGTGATTTGTGAATGTTTGAGAGATATGGCAGAATAGCAGGCTTTGGTTCTAGGAAGTGATAGACTGACAATTGATTTATGACTTTCACAATGCTCAGAAAAAATACTACTGAGTCAACACTTTTAATGTGAGAAAATTAAGTTAAAGGGCTTCAGGAAAAAAAAACTACCTTGGATAGAATTTGAAGTTATGTAGGAGGATTTATTTTCTCCTTTCTTCATTAAGTCTTTCTAAAATTAATGTCATATGCTTGTTAACTAAATCTTGCTTCCAGAAAGTAAGATATCTACTTCCATTTTCACCTTGTTTTTCAATTTTTGTTCTCATGGTCTCTTAGTAAATAAGAATTGTAAAATATTTTTTCACAATATTCAGTTTGTGGAGTTCTAAAAATCAAGAAAATATTTTTCACCTTTACTAAAATTGTAATAATCCTTCACAGGCTACTATAAAAGAAGAATTCTTCATGTTAATTTATGTAACTGAATATAATTCTCCTTAGTACTTATGACACCACTATTAGTAACTATAACTAGAATATATATTAATAATTAAAAAATTTATTCTGAGGCCTAGAAAAAATAATCATTTTTTCTTTTGTTGTCTTTCCATCTATTGACTTGTTCAGAGATAAAAAAGCAATTTAAAATTATTGGTTATATAATTTCATTGAGCTGAATGATTTCGGGCTTCTCAAAAAAAAAAAAAGACACGAACATGAAATGTCAATAGCATT